CCACCGCCCATCTATGCCATCATATTTCCATCTCCCTTTCTGCATTTGCTCATTCTCCTTAAGTTTCTCTCATGCTCCAATATGACACCTTTACAATCTTAGCTCACAAATATTACACAAGACCAATGACACAGTAACTGTACACTCGAGTGGAGCTTGAAGCGATAATGGAATTCTCAATGTCTCCAAATCGACAGTCCAGGCTTCTCATGAGTTGCTGTGACTTGGATCGACAGTCCAGGCTTCTCATGAGTTGCTGTGACTTGGATCGACAGTCCAGGCTTCTCATGAGTTGCTGTGACTTGGATGCGGGTTGGAGTAATGAGTGTTGCAAACATTATTAATCAGCTGCAGGTGAAGCCACTATAGTTTAAAATGTGATTTTTTAAAGATACTTTTTTTAGGATAAGCAGGAACTGAAAGAATACAACGGGAAATGTCCTTTCCTTCTATATGCTACTTACAGCTAAACGAATACAAATCTGCAGAGAGTAATTTTCCGTTATGGTCAGAATACGTTAATATGAGATTAAAGACAGTTTTTCATGTCAAATTTCACTTAAGAGCACCTTCATACTGTACAAACTGGGCTTGCAAATATGGATTTAAAAACCTTTTTTTTTTGTAATGCTTCTGCAAACAAAAGCCTATTGCAGAATTGGGTTTAATATTCAATTTTGAAAAAAACCTTGGGACAGTGTTCCATTTGATGTTTGCAAATGGATGGCATTGGTGTGAATATGACATCTGAGCAGAAAGACATCCTGATCAAATATGTTATGGTGATGCCCTGACGAGTGTGTGTGAAAGTGAATGTGTCAAGGGGATTTTTGGTGTTTTCATTTGATTATAGGCTTAAGATTTCAGATTTCATTTGCAAATTTGATGGAGTTTTTAATCACTACTGCTAGAATACGACATTTTGTGCAAGGCACTTGGAAGTAGAAAGAAAAGCAGTGAAAGAGAGCTGTCAAATCCATTCTCAGTGAACCTTTCTGTGTTGCACTCAAGTTCTCTGCTAACTACTGCAGCAAAAGCCATCAGTGCCCCAGCCCCAAGGCTATCGATCAAAACTACATGAAGGAGATACAGGGTGTATTATTGAACAGACACTTACACACCAGGTATGAGACAGGCCTGTCAACCTGATCCATCTCATATGACAGTAAATAATTAACACTGCTGCCAAACAAATATGGACAGCTGTCAACAACGAAACCTAAGAGAAATTGTGTATTTACGCGTTTGTTAATTAGGGAATGTGTTTAACAATCAACTGACAATTGAATAAAACATGAAATGTCTTTTGTTTTTTCTATAGGAAAATACAGCAACGACTGATGTAGTGAACGAGAAAGAGAGTGACAGAAAGACGAAGGATGCACTCCTCCGTCCCAGTTCTCCTCTCAGTGTAGTGCCCTTCAAGAGAGCTGATAGGGGTACTGGTATAAAAACTTGACTATGGAATGGGATGCCACTCATGACACTCTTCACTTCATCAACAGTGAACAAAATGTGCATATGGGATCAGAGTGCGGGAGGACCACCTTGCCTCTATTTATGTATTGTTCTAACAGTTAAAATAGATATCTCTACTGTTTGTTTTATTGAGAGATTCTCAATGGGTTGTGAACAGTCCTGCTGTTTACACAGTTTTGAAAAGGTTTTATTTTGAGGGAGATTGGTAGAGTCACGGCTTATCCACTTATTAAAACATTTCCTATCGAAAATTGCAGTAGTGGTAGGGAGGCCAGGTTCAAGGTAATGGGAACACAGCATATTTCATTATGTAAAAGGTAAAGGAAATAAGTTGAACTAAATGATTAGCCAAAGACCTACACGCCACAAATTCAGTTATGTGGTAAAAAACACATTTGCCAACCTATGGAGCACCACAGTGTTAAATATAAACATTCAAACTCCAATCCCCAAAACATTTTTATATTTTTCTATGTCTTTGTTTTTGTTTAATTCATTACAGTTAACTCATGAATAATGCTCCGAACTGGTGTGTGAACGCATGCGTGTGAAAAGGATATAGCCATTTTAGTGAAGAACATGTCGTTGGGGTCATCAGGGGAGGAGAAAGTCTCCAGGTCTCTCTCCAGCTGCAGCAGCTGCCTCTCCATCTGCCTGAGGCTCTTTTCCAGATTCTCTGCAGACACTGACACACACCCACGTATAGCAAGACGCACACACACACGCACATTCATAACATCACACAGAAACACACCCACATGTCAAGGAAATGTGAAGAAAGACAACAACTCAATTACAGGTAAAATCAAGAGCATTATTATTTTGAGGCTCTGAAAGAATCAGAGAAAAACAACATACAGAAAAAAAGAACTGGGAAAGAGCGAGAGGCGCCAGCTCAATTGCAAAGCATGGTTATTGTGGCTTCACACAGTGCCAGCAACACCTTGGGAATAAACAATATCTGAGGAAAAAATAAACATCAAGTGACGGTACGTTCAATACCTATCTCTTTGTTATTATTTCCTCCAATATGCTCATGCTTTATGTGTAGCCAATTAAATAAATACAATAATACTATGCCCTTCTTGATTTACATCTTGCAGTGAATGTGAATACCTGCCATGTTTGCTTACATATTTTTGAAGTAGGAACACGGCTGTTGAACAAGAAATATTTCTCTGTCCTTCATCTTTAGAATTATTAACAGGTGCCTTGATCATGCAGGTGGGAGAGCAGGGGAACACTGAGCCTAACTTTCTGTTAAGTTGGTCATGGCTGACACGTTAAGCTAGTCACTGAATATGGCATATGGCTTAAATTACCCTGATTAGACCCTGCTTAACAAAAAAGCATAAGCTGCTTATTTTTAAGTAGTTTCAAATGTCCCTTGATCCTAATACATGCTTTACGAAAAGAAAAAAAAATAGAAAACTTCAATGAAGCTAAGCTCCTGACTGAATTTATAGCATAAAACCCATTTACTGATGGGAACAAACTGTCTGGGGCAAACACACACCCACTTGTTCGTTATGACATATTTACTACAAAACAATCTAGTAAAAAAATCTGCAATAGCTGACTGTAGATTCTTATAAAAAAAGTTTTGTGTAGTGAGAGTACTGTCTTTTCAGTGAAGCTGAAGGTGAGCTTGTGAATGTACGTACAAACCCACACAAGTCATTCAGCTGGCTGAGAGGAAAAGGCAGGTGGCACTTTTCATAAAGCTGTCACTCGTGATTGAGAAAAAAGACACAGCAATAACAACTTCTTCATACTGTAAAACATTTACTACAGTCCATCTACTGCGTCTCTAACTGACAAATGGTTATCACTTCATCTCTACTCACTGCACCTTTTACTTTGTCCCCAAAGTCCTATTGTTACCCTTTCTGCTCACCTTCTCTGTCTTTCAGCACTGGCATTAATAGTTAACAGTCAGACGAAGGCAAAGGAAATGCCATAGCACACTGTTCTTTTAAAAAAACCTATCCCAGAGGACATTGGAACCAGTGATGTCTCAACCAGAGCAGTATCCAGAAATCAACTGCACTGTTGGATTGAGTTTTATTTTGGTAAGAAGTTTAGGTGAAAATAAATGTGAATCATCTTTAAGTAGGGGTCAGTAGGAATTTTCAGTCAGATGAAGATTGATTTGTCTTCAAGGAACACCATTCTTACTGCCATTATAGACACAGAATAATATTGTGGATCTGATAAAATAAATAAATAAAAATGATTGAACAATCAATGAATGTTAAAATAAACCTTGGCCTTTATCAACTTACTATAAATAACTTACCAAATAACTTAGTATTTTTGTTTAACCCTTATATTTGCACCTGTGATGCTAATTGGTTAAAATGGACAACTAAATTGTGTCTTGAATAGTTGTAATAAACACTAGACTACAGTTGGAGCAGCAGGTGTTTTGCAGACTGACATCTACACCAACAAAAAGAAAATTGCTTATATTTCACCAAAGATTAACAAGTTGATTCAGTTCTTTGACAGATGCACTTTGCTCTGAATACAAATCATAATTTTGTATTTAATTGATCAGGTTTACAGAATTGTATGTTCTTCAAAATAATAATATTCTTAAAACAAAATGTCACTGCAGAGGGATTTACATGTTGTTAACAGTGGAGCCATCATTTGTCGTGATAGGTGCATTTATTAAGAGAGCTCTTATGTATGAGAAACTACTCTAAGCTGCCATTATGGCCATGTATGTCTCTTGTTGAAGAGATAATTCATCCCAAAAGATTGCCTGGCTAAATAATGCTTATAAATAAAAATGTCTTTATGAGACCACATCAGCAACCACTTAATTATGATTCATACTACAATAATGTACTGCATGACATGTACTGTATGGACAAGGGAGCTGTTTAAATAAAAATATCCTGCCTTTTAATGAACCGGATACTACAATCAAGTCAGTCACACATTAGCAGCACTCAAAACACCTCAGTACCTTTCTACTAGTAACGTAATAGTAACATGTCTGCCAGAGAGACATTGCTGTGGATTTGGAGATACATTTCTGTATAACTTTTATAAGATTGTTAGTTCTGTATCAGAAAACCAAACGGAAATCTGCTGTCTAGATCAGGGGGTCCCAAAACTTTCAGCCCGCGACCCCCAAAATAACAGTGCCAGAGACTGGCGACCCCTGTCAACCGAGAAGGTTATCGCCTCTTGAGAGACATGATTTGGATTCTGTCAACACTCTTTAAAACCATAAATCTTTGACTAAATCATTAATTATTTCCTTATATCTGACCAATGCCCAGTCAAATTAGTATGATAGATTAACTTGTCCGAACAATTATTCTAGCAAACAATCAGAAACTGACACTTCACTTATTCTATCATTTCCATTTAAGTCTCTGTCGGTTTTTCTTGAAAGCATTCTGCATAAGCAACAGTTGAAATCTGCTGAGGAGACATGGGCAGCGTGCAGAAGTGGAAGGAGGCCAAGCCGGCAGCCGATGTTAATGGAAATGATTAAAGCCCAGTGATGCACTGACTGAGAAAAGAGTCAGGGGAAGGAGAAGTAAGGCAACATAGAGGGATCCCCCCTCTTCTGCATTTTTTTTACTATCCAAACTGAAAGCTTTCGGTGATGAGGCTCCCCAAGGTGGAGGAGCACATGACAAAGAAAAGACATGCAGGTTACAGAAATTGAGGCATAGGCTTCTGGAGAAAATCTGTCTGGGACTCATCAGGAGTATAGCAGCTGGAATATTTTGTTAAACAGAGAGAAATGTAATTTAAAACAGATGATGCTGATGCTCTTTATGAACACACATCTGTCACAAACAACTTAGGAATTGTGGTATAATTGCTCTGTGGTGCGGTGACAAGCAGAGATGGAGTTTCATGGTGGTCTCAGTGGCCACCTTAGTTCTGCTTTCTCTTTCTGTGTTAGAGGCTGAGTGATGTTTATGAGCAACGGTGCTGGAATGCCACTGTGGTCCAGAGGGGTTGCAGACAGATATAGGATGTTTTGGAGGAATAATAATTGGATTATTTGTAGAGGTCAGATCCCTCATTGACATCCTTTTATTACTCTGCCAAGCTGCTGTGCTATAAATGAGACTGAGTGGAGCACACGACCATACTCACTCACAACAGCACTGCTACACACAAATCTCCACTATAGATCATCCTATGATGTATGGAAATTAAGAGACTGAAAAAGAAAAGCAGATCTGCTTCCTGAGGCCAGAGCCTGACAGACAAGTGCGACTAAACTGATGGTGCCAGAGGCTGGGAACTGGAGACTTGTAATTGAAGAAATCCAGACGCGCCCCGTCCACACAGCAGCTTTGAAAAACTCTTGAACATTTTGGAGGTGGTGTGTCTGAAAGCTTGGGGATTTTTTGCGAGCAACGCGACCAACAACCAATCACATGAATCTCCCGCCCCGACATACAAAGCAATAGCAATGTTAAAACGAAGTAAACTGGATATAAACTCTCCAAACAGGCGAAAACCTACCAGTTTCACCCACTGTCTCTGCCACCTCCCTCCATGCCTGGTTCCTCCGGTTTGTATCCCGGTAAATAGTTACTGGTCGTAAAGAACCGGGTCATTTGCTACCGTAATTTCTCGTTTGGAATATGAGGAAATGAACTGCGGTATGTCTCTCCCAGCTTACACGTGGTTTGATTGGCTAGCACTTGTACTGTCAGATTTGCATAAACGGGATTTGATTGGCTGACGCTTCCAGCTCAGCTTCAAAAGTTGAACATTGCTCAACTTTTGAATCCTGAAAATCCTGAAAATCTTCGCTTTGCTTCCCCACAATGCAGTTCGGCGAAAAGCGAGGCAAAGTGACGTCACCCCCATTCAAAGTCAATGGACAGAGAAGCATTGGGAGATTTATTTAAAGCTGCTGTGTGGACGGGGCGTATCTCATCGGGCTCAGCACCTAATATATACTAAAAGAGCATGAAGGTCAGTGAATTGCAAGTTGTAGTGTGGACTGCTTTCACTGTATACTTTTAACCTGAGGCTGGTCAAACTACAAGTAGCAAACTAATGCTTTAACCACATGTTAAAGAAACATCTCAATATGGCTGATTCCCCACATTACTTCTTAATGACTCCTTGGGGCCGCAGGCCTTGAACAGAAACTGAACCAAAACACCTTTTCCTCCTTTGCAATATGAAATGTATGCAGACAAGTCTATTTAGTATTACACATAGCTTTCCAACTCAGCAGTGTGTCTGCTACTGAAAGGTGGTGTTTGAACATGTAAGAGCTGAAGTAGCCTGTTAGAGCACATTCATGTCTCTTTTCTGACTTGAACATCAAGCTCAGAACCAAGTACAACGCGACAAGCCACACGTATTGCCCAGACCTGACTGCTGTGTATTGTGAGGGTGTTTGGGATGAAGGACAAAAGAAGTAGGAGCAAGAGAGAAAGTGGAAATAGAACATAACTGATACAACAAAAAACGGAAAGAGATAGAGTCAGAGAAAGAAAGATAGAGAAAGTCACAGGGAGATATTGACATACATAAAAAGACACAGATAGAGACAAAGAGAATGACAGACAGTCGCAGCACACAAGGACTGCTTCTCAATGTCAAGAAAATGATTGTAATGCTGAAAAGAAGAGAGAGGGGCAGAAATTAGAAGACAGACACAAAGGAACCCCTGAACTAAACCAGTTTTGCATCCATGAGAGACAACGGAGGTGGTGATGGGGGGAACGAAAGCTGTGTCACATACGGTCAAAAGACAGCGGCTTCTGCAACAGCAGCGCAAATCATTACTGCTACCTCTATCAAACCTTGTTTTCATGCTCAAGTAAGCTCTTTGGTTAGCGTCTATAGATGTAACACATCCCTTTCAGTGTGTCTCCAGGCCTCCCGAATGGCTGTCAGACATGATGAAAAGGAAGCCACACATGGTTTATAAAGACGAAATGGGATTTGTGCGTCTGAATACTAGATTTGAAGAGATGAGACACTTAGTGTATGCATCTAATAATGGCCAAGGCGCACAGGGAAAGACGAAGATAGAGAGAGGGCAAAGCATATATACCGTAGATAGAAAAATATACTCAGTGTGTGGCCATCATGTATGGAGGTGGAAAAAGCTTGAAGACAGACCCAGGGTTTGTGCTCTCTATTGATCTGGCCCTTTCACCTATAAGCCATGGCCATGGGCTTGTGGACACGGTTGGGTAGAAAATGAAACACTCAACAGGAGCATCATTATCCGCAGATTATAAGAGCACCAAAAGAAACAGGAGGGGTCCTTATGAGGAAGAGTCCAAACAATAGTCACATATGTCATCCTCAGTCTGTTTTTCTTCTCCTCACTGTTCCCTTCAATCCCTCCTGCTGGGAACTGAGCAGTGGGTAAAATCATCTTTGCAGCAACAGAAACATGCTGTGACAGCGCACACACTGCTGCTCGCTGCTTCCTCCTGAGAGTTGCCACTGGCAATATGAACAAAGAATATAAGAGAGTCTGAGCTGACCACCTGGTCTGTCCCTGCCTGTTTGTGACCTTTTCCATACAATGTTCCCAACACTGACCATACTCAGAGCCATGTGGGAGCATCTGTCAATGCGTGACTGTTAGCATGATCTCGCAGCTAATTAAAAGGAAAACAGTAACTGTGATGTAAAGCAACACAAAAGTCTTAATTACTGTACATAACAACTGTTGAATCTATTGTTATTCATCTTAGCAGTATTCATGGCCTGAAGTATTCTCTTGAAAAATAAAGTTATATCTCTTGTCATTGTGCAACGGAAAAAGATTAATGTTGGTATCAAACCGCAGTGCAGAAGCGCAGAGTGTAGCATAGATCAAACATTGAACTGGTTAGATACACTGCATGTTTACAGAATCAACAAGCATCTCAAACATGAATAATCTCCAGAGAGTAACACAAGTAGAAAGGTAAGAGGAAACCTCAAAGTAAGACAAAGGAATACGGAAGAAGAATGCTCCATTTCTGTCGAGGTAAGAACATCCAATAGAAGCCAGCCTGCTTTTCATTAAGCTCTCTAAACCACATCCTACTGTATAATGCCTGGATCTATCATTACTGTTCAAGTGCAATCATGAAAAGCAAGCAAAGACAATAACATCTAATAAAAATTGTTTATTTGTGTTAAAAGATTATAACTTAATAGAAATGATGATGTACACTAACTGACTATATTCTTGTGATGGATTTAATCATTTTGTTGATGTGCAGTCTTTGCTCTAAGGTTTCTTTGGATGTGCTCAGGTAAACATTCTTTATTTAGTCTGTTCGCCAATGGATCTCAGGGGTTAAACTTAACGAGTTGAAATTACGCAATGTAATCATGAGATAAGGTTCATGATATCAGTAGTTTATAAGGCTGGACATCCCACACAGCTCATTATTTTTTCATTAGGCTCACCTTTCCCATCATGTACCATTACAATTTCCAGTATCATCACTATTGTTTATGTCAGGCCAATTTGCCTAATGGCCAACATAAAACAAGCGGCCAAAGCATCCTTTCAAAATGTCTAAAATATTCAGTTTGAATAGCTTGTTTAGTTGCCTTAACAACATGTGGAAGAGAAAATAAAACAAGCGTTTCTTCATTTAACTCAAAGCTAAAGAGAATGGCTTTTTCTTTCAGACAGAGAGAAGGGGTAAGTGTCTTGTTTGTTTGCCTTTTGTTTGCTCAAAGAATAGTCTAACTATTTTATTTTTAATTCTATTTTGTAAGACCAGTTGGTAAAACACCGGGGATGTTGACAGGAAGGAGATAGAACTCCCTGCAAATTTTATTTGACACCAGCAGGCCAGGAAACCAAAATAACAGCAATAATCCCACTGTGATAACATCTCCCAGACAGCGGGTGGTAGAGGAAATGTTAAAATTATCAAGAAGTGTGGTTGTTACTTGATAATTAGAGTGGGGATCATTGCATGCTTAATCATTTGTAATAAAACCTCATACGAAGTGTTCATTGAGTAGGTTTGAACATATGTGTTATAATGTATACCTCTGCTAGATCGGTCTACATGGTCCAGGTCTTCAACAAACGAGATCACATCTGGAAACTCCTCCTCACATACTTGCGTCAGGAAATGGAGTAATGTGGTTGTTTGGTCCGCTGACTTAGTATCCTTTAGCTGTAATACAAAAAAATAAATACACAAACATATAAAATAAACACATAAACCTGTAACAGTAACAACAAATATATGTTTGTATTTTATTTCACTTTATCTTGTCTCAATAGTACTCTATAAAAGTGCTTTCTCTGGGGACAAGCTGATTGCATTTTTTTTTTTTGCACTTGTACTTTAGACTTGCCTTGTTTTTTAAAATGTCTAAGGCTAACGGCGGGGGTGCGTTGTCTCGACAGCTGTTGGCAGTCTGCCAGAGTGGCGGTGCTACACTGTAGGGAACTACAGACAAGGCAAACAAACCCGCGCTGTAGCCTGAAAACGCTGTGTTGTTGCTGGTATTAAAGAGTAAGCACCCCACAAGGATCTAACTGGACTGAAGTGACATTTGCAAGTACATTCAGTGGGGCAAAAAAGTATTTAGTCAGCCACCAATTGTGCAAGTTCTCCCACTTAAAAAGATGAGAGAGGCCTGTAATTTTCATCCTAGGTATACCTCAACCATGAGAGACAAAATGAGAAGGAAAAAAAATCCAGAAAATCACATTGTCTGATTTTTAAAGAATTGATTTGCAAATTATGGTGGAAAATAAGTATTTGGTCAATAACAAAAGTTAATCTCAATACTTTGTTATATACCCTTTGTTGGCAATGACAGAGGTCAAACGTTTTCTGTAAGTCTTCACAAGGTTTTCACACACTGTTGCTGGTATTTTGGCCCATTCCTCCATGCAGATCTCCTCTAGAGCAGTGATGTTTTGGGGCTGTCGCTGGACCACACAGACTTTCAACTCCCTCCAAAGATTTTCTATGGGGTTGAGATCTGGAGACTGGCTAGGCCACTCCAGGACCTTGAAATGCTTCTTACGAAGCCACTCCTTTGTTGCCCGGGCGGTGTGTTTGGGATCATTGTCATGCTGAAAGACCCAGCCACGTTTCATCTTCAATGCCCTTGCTGATGGAAGGAGGTTGTCACTCAAAATCTCACGATACATGGCCCCATTCATTCTTTCCTTTACAC